AACGGAGCCCCTTGAGCTCAATTTGATGCGCAAGCGGGTACTTGTTTGATGCAATCCCAAACACCCGACGACTTACGTCTTAGTTACTAACCCACTCACTCCATCCCACTTGGGCTAGACTACGTAAGCATCGACTGTCAAAAACCACTAGGAGATGGATGTTTTCTACCCGCAAATTCAAGGTTTCACAACCGTAAAGCAAAAGCGATCGTACAGTGGCGCACTGTACGCGACTTTTCAAATTAAATGAAACATCACGTCGTCGCCACAGGGGTTTAAGTCCTACTTTCGCTTCTTGAGCCTTGGAAATGCGGGCGGTTATCGCCTTTGATGCGCTACCATCGTTGGTCACACAACCACCTAAGTTCATCCAGAGGAAAAAACAGCACTGGAAGGCGATCTGCATTGATTAATATTGATTCACTTTTGCTTCGTTCCCGGCTTCCTCTCATACGAGATTTAAATTTAAAAAAAACCAGTAAGTTCCTTAACTAAACCTTTTCCCATCAAGCTTTGGTCAAAACCCACAACCCTTTATCCAAAACCCGTAATTCTTTAGCCATGACCCGTAGTCGTTTAGCCTCGACGCGCAATCTTTAGTCACATCGCTGCAGGCGAGTCAGACCAAAACTATCGAAATATTCTGAGGTCAACGAATTTTGAAAAAAATTATTTTCTTCAAATTGTGACAAAGAAAATGATGTGTGACGAGCGTATGCTGCGCATTTTATTGTAGTCAACGGTATCAAATGCCGCACCGCATATTGGTTGTAGTAGGTTCAAACGATGTACCCGTATCGTCAAACCATTGGGCACATCTCGCGTGTCCTCAGCATTTTCAGTTTTTAATGTTTTAAATAAGAAGTTAATTGGAGGATTAAAATCCCTCAACTTTTTGAATTTACAGAATACCTCTTCCCGTGGATTCAAAAAGGGACTGTACGGTGGAAGAAATCGAATTCAGTGGTTGGCTCTCCGATGAACTAGCGATAATGTGCTCTTGGCTGGGCGTAATCAGCACATGCAAGCGCGCTAGTGTAACACTGTACCACGCTCCAAACACCAAGGTTCGCTAGGGATACAATTCTACGAAACCGTCATTACCAAGGAATGTTAAAAAAAATCCGTAAACCTATTGCAAAAAGACGAGTCAATAGGGATCAGTCATTGTTTTTTTTTCTTTTTTTCAGGGGTTGGGGCGGGGGGAGGGAGGAAGACCGCATGTGGGTGACCTGGTTTGTGGTAGTGTGAAAGCACATTTTAATCAAAAGTAGATTATTCACGACAGTGAGAGAGAGAGACAATGGAGACCGACTCATCCCAGGGTTTTAATTACCCAAAGATGCACGTTTACGGACTTAGGGAACAAGAGTTTGAATGTTGCAGGGAGGAATAGTTGTTATCGTCATCAATTGACATGAAATTCTTATGTTTCATCGGACACGCTTCTATCTTTATCTTTATTATTATTATTATTTTATTATTATTTTTATCTTCTGTACTTCTTATTTCTTTTCCATGGGTGCATTTCAGTGGGTTCTGCTAGAGGACGTTATCAATTACCGCGAACTGCGTCTGCTAATATTCTCGAATCGTCTGCTCATATGTTCCATTTCGGTACCGTGAACTTTGAAGTGGAACTTGGCCGTTCACATTAACCTACGGTTGATGAATATATCCGGAGGCCTAAGGCTATTGCAAACGAACAGTTAACGGAGTTGTGCATTACCGGTTGCGCATAGTGGAACGATCATTCGCATGATTGACCGTAAACAATGCTCCACGAAATAAACTGTTGTGATGAAAAGCAATCTCTCTGAAAATCACTTCAATTGTGTAATAGAAGGGAAAAAAACAAGAACCTATCGTAAATTCACGACAACGATCATGAAAAAGGTCGTTGAAACCAGCCCATTGCTGTACGAATGGTACTTAAAAGCCTCATCAAGCAAGTAGCATCCATAAAAACGAAATTATGTTCACGTCGGAGTAGATTGTTTGAAAGCAGAAGCAAAGCAAGTTTTTTTGCGGGGGGGGGGACGCATCACAGAACTGAAAAGAAATGTCTGTGCTGGCTTACTTTTTAACTTTTCATGACTGAGATCCTTTGGATTGGTCTCCAAAACCGACCAGCTTGGCATACAACATGATCCGCTGGAGTCAAAGTATGCGGTATGTGTGTGTGGATTCGGATCCGAAACGTCCGTGACCGACTCGCCTTCACCACTTGCCAATCCAATCTCCTGATTGGGGGTACTGGTACTGTCAGTTTCAGTTCCAGGCAAAAGCAGTACCGTGTAGCGTTTTCTAAACGTTTGTATGGTCTGTGAGAGTTGATTCCACACGACTAACAAGCCACAAACGGCATCAAACTCATCTGACTCAAGTTCGATAGTTTGAAATATGTCCTAAAAATGAATTAAATGGACATTTGGAAAGCAAAGAGAGTTGTGATCAAGCAAAGACAGCTAGTTGACCTGAAAGAGTTTTTTGTCAGTCGTATTGAATGATGATCAATAATGTTGACTACCAACTCTTTTTTATTACACACCGGTGTGTGATGGACAACAGACAGGCTGGAACTCCATAGTCACGAAGACCTGCTGTTCAGTGATGGTAACTGGCAACCTAAACCCCGGGCGAACCACATCAGGCCTCGCTAGGTCAGGCGTGGTATAGAACCGGGCGACAGCAAAGCTGTCTGTACTGAGAGGGTAAGTGAGTGAAACATACGTTCACTGAGGCAACAGATGGAGTTCAGTTTAGTGAATCACACAGTTGTGTATATTGTCCTATTCCAAAAAAATGCCTGGGCAAGATTCACGTTTGGACTAGCTGAGCGTTCCGACTTTGTTTTGGTGGAGCCTCCCTTTTACAGTGTTAACTTGATTTTCTCAACTGACGGCCAGAACGGTAGCTTCGGCCTGAGAAGAAAGACAGTTGAGAAAGACGGTACTTTTTGTCCACCTGGAGTTTAGTAATACTGTGCCTGTTTGTCAATAACACGTCTTGTCGCGGGGCGCCTCTCACTCAGTTACTGTTGTGATTTTGATTTATTATTCTTGACCGGTTTACACCACCAAGTCGATCGCCCTCCATCCGTCACAGCAGCAGTTCTCCCCACAGACAGTGCCGGGGGGGAGGGAGGTTGCTAGCCACTCAATGATTCAGTTCGCTATCACAACCATGCTTTGAGTCTTCAGGTTCGAATCTTGCCATTGCTACCGGACTTCACTGTTGTCGTCATTCGGCCTAATAAGATTTCTATTCTATTGGGACTTCGTTGTGTGTTGCATCAATTGCCGAGCCATCGATTGGCAGTTGTGATGAGTGAACGACAGATCAACATGGAAATAAATTAAGATTTCCTTTGATTCATATACGAAAAAAAATTGCTCCGATTACTGCCTTGGTCTAGACAACCTAACAGTATTCCGCTCACAAACAAACGATGGAACGTTTTCTTTTTATAAAGATTATTGTACTGTGATTTATTTGATACACAGTCTAGATTCAGATGTGCACGAAATACGAATACACCGCAATTGATACAAAAAACCCATTTCACGAATTATATCCCTGAAGCAATCTTTTTAATTAATCACCGCGCAAACTTTATGATGACGTCCTCTGGAAGGACATCCTTCAAGTAAATTGACAAGCAAACATAGAGCCCGATAAGATTGATTGGTGGTTCACTGAACCGCAAATCAACCATCAAACTTTGTGGACATTACGCGAAAGGCATTTTCGCAAGCGAATACAATAATTTTATGGAATAGCAATATATTCAACACATGAGAAGATACACTAATTATTCGACCACGGGCCCCAGACGTGATGTATTAGGAAATCCGATGGCACAATGATTCGTCATTAGCAACGCCGTCTTGATCGATGGGTTGAACATTTCGAGGCTGTTTGGCTAGCTCCTATCAACATCTGATCTATCACCACCCAACTCGACAGGGAAAATACTCCCAATTGATGCCAGTACGTCATCTAAAATGGAGGTTCCCCAGGAAATACGTTATATCAAAAGGCCTCTGGCCAAGATGGGCTGTTCCCATCGGCTTTTAAGGATGGGGTTCAATCTTGGTTTTGGAGTTGACGAAACTCATGAGCTCAATATAAGAGATGGAGCAGGTTTCAATTGAACAATGTAAATCGGTGATCATACCGATTTACAACAAAGGTGGCAGGTCCTCTTGTAAAAACCGCGGAGGAATTAGTTTGATCAACATTGCACCTAAACTTCTCGCCGGTATCATACTCCGTCGATTGTCTGTCGCACGTGAAGAGTGCAAGCGAGGCTGGTTTTAGACCTGATCGAGGGCTGTATCGACCACATCTTCACTCTTCGTCTAATTCTGGAGTATCAAACTCTTTTTCGTGGACCTGCAATCTCTGTCTTCCTCGATCTGAAAGCGGCTTTCAACTCAGTCGATCACTCTAAACTCTGGCGCTGCCTTTGCCTGGAAGGTGTGCCCGAGAAGTCTATTTCAATATTACGATTTCTTTATACTAAATGCTGAAGCTGAGTCCGAGTTTATGACACGTTTTCACCCGAGTTCACCACGGAAAGTGATGTTCGTCAGGGTTGCCCTCTCTTTCCTCTTCTATTTAACTTCGTTATAGATGTGATTATGAAAACAGCCCTGTCCTCGTGCGAAGATAGTGGCACCGATTTGTTCCCAGATGGTAGACTGTATGATTCAGGTAAGTTGCAAGCTTGAATACGGGCGCAGCCATTTTCGGCATGCGTTTTGCACCTTCAAAGTGTAAAATGTTGCTACAAGATTTGATTGATCCAGCCCCAAAACTCACTCTAATTGGGGAAGTAATAGAGCAAGTGGACAAGTTTCGTTATTTGAGCACTTACACCTCACCCGTTGGACGCATCAGGGATGAAGTGTCAGCTCGCATACAGAAGGCTCGGTTGGCATTTGCCGACTTAGGACATCTGTAGCGCTGTTACGACATCCGGCTGTCCGTGAAGGGTTGAGTGTATGCTGCGGCAGTTCGATCAGTTTTGCTATATGGCGTAGAAACTTGGTCATTAAGAAAACAGGATAAAGACAGACTGCCGGTGTTTGAACACCGCTGTCTACATCACACTGCACGAATCTGGTAGAGTCGCCGGACAAGCAATGCCGAGGTTAGGTGCAGAACTTTAGATATTCGTGGTCGTCCACCGGNGCCCAAGAGACTTGCTCACATAGACCGCGTTAGGCTTCCCGAATGCGGATATCGGGGATATCACGTAATCAATCATGTTAGAGACAGTGAGTGAAATGACTGTCACATACACTGGCGATTGTGCACCGCCTGATCATCTCTGCACTCCTAGTTTTGGTGAGTTCTATATCTTCTCTTTCACTCTGCTCGCAACATTTCCTTCTTTGAACAGGCAAGTCAGAAGACAAACACTACGCGAGAGGAATTCCTTTCGTATACTCTCATCGGTCGCGTACCCATAACATCGAACAAGATAGACAAATGAAGCGATTTAAGAAATCTAGTTAGTATTACCCATGTGTGTGATGCACGTGATTGGTTACAGCCAGGGAAGGTTAAGGGTAAAGGTCATACGTTTTTGGATACACAGTGTGGGTTTGTTGTGAGCGATCGATAATGCCTCGAGTATCCTTAGTCGGTGTTTGTCTCGATGACGCAACACACACTGTACACAACCATACACATGGGTAATACTAACTAGATTTCTTAATTCGCTTCATTTGTCTATCTTGTTCCATGTTGTACGTACGCGACCGATAAGAGTATACGGAAGGAATTCCTCTCGCGTAGTGTCTGCCTTCTGACTTGCCTGTTCAAATTCATTTCGGGATCCAAATGTTTCAATTTCCTTCTTTGTTTTTCTCTTTCATCCAAATGGGCAGCCATGAGAAAATAACCAAAACCGGCAGACGAAGGTGCATCGTCAAGACGGGTTTTTTTGTCACAGGTCGACTGTTTATAAGGCGCTTGCTTGCTTGCTTTTAATACGCTTCGTCCAGCATTACCTTTATACGACGGTGGAGTGACAGTAAGATTGTCGGCTCTTCGAGCTATGTGTATGCATTCAAGCGCAACAACTAGTCAATTCGCTTGAGTACACTGTACACCAAATGTATACAAAAGATATGGTCCAAAAGTGCGAAACAGTGCGGATGAAAATGCCCAAAACACTTTGAAGAGTAAATCCAACAGAACGTCTTGGAAACTCACAAGGAGCATCCATTGCATGTTTGGAATCTCTCGAGATAGTAAATCACGGATCGCGCTGACGAAATCACGGTAACAGTCTTGCTGATTCGATTGAATGGAGAATGGCATACAGTTTAACAAAAAATCGATTGCTAAGGATAGAGTTTTCCAGCGATTAAGAATCTGACGGACGGAAGGCTTGAACGAATTTTCTCCAATCGTTATCGAAATCGTCTCCTCCAACAAAGTTCGCAGACTTGAAGTGTAGGCCTAAAAAGAAGCATAAACTATAAGAAAACGTGAGAACGCCTACTTCAAATAAGCTTGGACAATTGGTCAAAACACGACCGAGAACCCCATTCACCATAGAAAATAACCAATCCCTGGATGACAAAGTCGAGTCACGGGTGATGAACCAGTTTCGCAGAATACAGCGAAAAATTTGCCCGAGCAAATCAATGTGCTCTGGAGCAACCGGCTCACGGTAGAACGGGAAGTGTAGAACTGTTGTGGAAAGTGCTGAGGTAACTGCCCTAGTACGATTATTCGTATCGTCAGGATCAGTGTCTTCTGCGGCATTCAGATAGGTTAACTAGAAGACCATAAAGAGTGAAATCGGGAAAACCCACCGATGCCTGCAGAAATGCTGTAACCTCGTGTGGAGTGAAACATCCACAATTAGTGCTTGCATCTGCATCAGAACAGACAAATACTTCTGGAGTGTTAGATCGCTCGGCAGCTACGTCACCTCCGATAGTAGCCAAACAGAGTGCAGATCTAGAAATGGTGAGAGAGCTATTTAGTATCCCGGAGAAAGACTTACTTTTCAAAATAAACTTCGCGTTCTTTGTTGAAAAATGCTGCCGCTCGCATAGCAAATACAGCATTTGTAAGTCCCAGCATTATGTGATTAGTTCGCGATTTTCCTGGAAAGTGACATTGAGACAAACTGTAAAAATGTGCGCATTGATAGCTATAGACAAAGAAAAGCAGTCACGAAAGCACATACGATCAAATGAGTAACACGAACTTTGAACTTTCTCAACGTTATTATATTCAATACACGTGAGTTCAAACTCATCAATGCAAAGAGAAATGCAGTGAAGTGAACTTTACAGACCACTGCTAAACTCAAAATGAAAAAATAGTGGTAATACGTAAGGTGTACAGGAATTGAAGGAAGGGGCAGAAAGTGCTCATGTTCTTTGGCACCCAATTTACAAATGAGCAAGCAGACCTTCCAGTCGTCCGGTTCGTTGGTAGATTCGACTCGAAAAATGTCTTCCCAACTGGTGAACCAGCAGTCGAAAGTGATGCCAGAGTCTGGATCGTAAATGAACTCGGTGATGCTCGATTACCTCTGCTGGCGGGGCCTGTCTGGAACTGGGAGTGCTCGTTGACTGAAGACTGAGCGATCGTAGCGTGGCTTCGAACTGCTACTGCTGATGTTGCTGCAGGATCAATTCTTCAGTTCTTCCGCGGATATAGACATCGTGGGTTAAGTGAGATACCCGTCGCCAATTGTTGTGTCCGAATCCCGATTGATCACAATGTACACACAACAAGATATCACACGATGACACACAAGGAACATACGTACCTCAACGGCCACACTAGCCGTCTAGCCCCACGCGTACGATCACAGCACAGATTGGACACCACGAGCACTGGTAACCTTCTCCCAGCTACGTAAGCAAGAACACAGATAGTGCACAGCAAACGTGTACTTGACACACAGGAAGCAAGTCAATTTACAAGTTTTACTCTGATGCTTATATGTGACTCAAAATAGCACCGATTAATGTAGGAAAAAGATTGTGCCAATCAAGTACCCGGATTTAGCAAAGTTCAATCGGTCACAGGTCACGGATCAGACGGA